TAAAAGGATACATGCTCACGTGGAGCCATTCGTTCATTCATTCGCCAACCATTTTCCTTATCCCTCCAATTATTAGAAAAACATTTGCAAGTGAAAACTCCTCCAGTGTTCTTGACATTCATTCCTTGATTTCATTTCCCGCCACTAGCCAATTCACTGGCCAGTTCTCCACCAACCTTCGTGGTCATACTCGAATATACCAAAACACTGTCCCAGGTCACCAGCCGCCCGATCGAGTCCGCTTCTGACTCGAGTTGACTGGCAACCAAGGACAAGGGCCCAGTTCAGCCAAAAGGTTTACGTTCATGCACAAGTAGCATTCAATCATTAAAAATTCACTTTGGCTTGGGTCGAGTGCGATAAAGTACACACTCGCTCATCGAAAATCCATTTAGCAATCCTTGGAAAGCATTTAACATTCAAGCAAACATTCACAGATAGTCACATAGTCACTTATTGTACAAACACATAAGGAACACTCACCAGTCTAAACCAAAATAACATCAAAAGTTTCCTTCCGGATTATGCCCTTGATCACCGACAAACCCTAAGAATAACCAATCCCAAATTGAAGTGAGCAAATGTAATTCAAAGTTTTTGAGAGAAAACTAACACTTTTCATCTTAGTTGATACCAAATCTTGATAAAAAACAACTCATATACTACTATTGAAGTGCATTCAAGGATACATATGTAACTTAAGATCCAACTAACCCTAAAATCAAACCTTACATCTCACTAATATTCATAAGAGCAAGTAATAGAAATTTGGGCAGCATTTCCCCTATTTTCTTATTTTCCCCATCCAAGTACAACTCGGATTCACAAGCCAACAACCCTCCAATCCATCCACAAGTGATAACCAAAAACATTCATCTATTCAAGGCCTCAAAACCATCCAAACAAACCAAATAATAACTTATCACCATGGACCAAAGCTAGAAACCAGTTTAAAGAAGAACTGATAAATGACAGTTTTGTCATCCTTCGGTGTTTTGGTTGTAGCTGTAGCTAGGTATATCGGATCAAGGTAAATTTTATGGCTTTTCGAAACTAAGACATAGACCTACATTTATTACGAAGACCTCCAAAGCCAAATCATGCATTTTCATGGTCAAAAATTGAAATCTCAGAGAAAACAGAAAGCTGTCGGTTAAACAGGGCATTTGGGCAGTCAGGGGTATTTTAGTCATTTCACAAGATACAGTTCTCCGATTGAGGTGAAATGTTTTGGGTAGAAAGCTAACGCAAATACCTACAACTTTCATGTTTTGAGAAAGAGCTGTTTTGGCCTTTATCATGGACGAATATGCAGTTCCAGTTGGGTCCAAAAACAGGGCAGAATCACTACCGAATGCTGGAAATTCAACTTTTACTCTAACATATCACAACCAAGCCATTAATCACTTCACCAAATCCATATCCTAGCTCAATAACATCACTTACTAGGTAAACAACAATAATCAAGGCTGAAAAATGCAAACCTTAGCCAACATTCCACTACACCATCAAAAACTAAACAATCAACCCTAGCAAGCCAAGAGTAAAGGCTTCCATACCAAATTTAACAAGATTAAGCAAGAGAAAAGGAAGTTCAAGCCTTATACCTTCCAAAAGCTTCTTGCAAGTGAAAAACAAACCACTAGCTTCAAAGATTTCCACCACTTCTAGCCTCCTAAGCACCAAGATGAGACTTTAATCGATTTAGTTTTGTTGATTTCACTCAAACAAGGCTTGATTCAAGGTTGGAAATGGAAGGTTTCTCTCCTCTCTTTTCCCTCTCCAAAAATTTGGCCAAGTCAACAAGAAATGAAGCAAAAATGGCCAAAATGCAAGATAAGAAGGAAAGAAATAAACTTGGTCAAAGTTCCTTGGATTTCCAACACTTGGCACCACAAGATGGTTTCTTATTTTTTTTCTTTTCTTCCTTTTCTTTAGTCAAAAATGGTGGCTGACTTAAGGGTTAATTTAGGGGAAATTAAATGAAATAAAAACAAGGAGATTAGGGTAAGAAAGTATTGGTCAAGTGGAGTACTCAACTGGTAACAAACGGTACACGTCGGTTCAAGCAGATTTTCCTTAACTCGTGCGTACTAGTGTTTTAACTTATGATTCACTAACTTATTAATAGCACTTCTAATCACACACTCCCTCTTATCTAAAACTCACTCTTAACCACCAAATTTAGTAGACACACCTCACCAATTAATCACACTACCAAAATACACAAAAACCCTAACTTATTCTAAGTTGAAAAGTAAAAATAAAACTCTTGGCTCAACTAATGAATTTACCATAAAATTTACGGCTAGTAAGTAGTTAAATAATCAAGTAAAGAGACATAGAAGTAAATATAAATTAATTGTTCAAAAATGGGAGGAAATTCTAAAGGAATTTTCGGGTCCTCACAGCAGGCGGTCCGCTAACCTCTGGGGTTCACCCTAGAGAGAGGTGGGTCGTCACAGAAGCTTGCTTCCATTCTTATCTTTTCTAGCACAAAATTTTCTTCATTTCTTTCTCGTCTTGGCCATGAGTTTGGAGAGGAAAGGAGAGAAGAAAAACCACCAACTTCATCTTGATTCTTGCCTTGTTTGAGTTGGAATCACAAAACTAAATCAAACAAACTATCGCCAAGGGAGGAAGGTTGTAGTGGAGAGGTTTTTTGGAGAGAAAGCCTTGGTTCTTCACTTTCTTCAAGGAGTTGAAGGTATAAATTGAACAACTTCTTTTCTCTTTCTTATTTCTGCAATTTATGGTGAAGATGACTTGAAACTTGGAATATTATGGATGATAACCTAGATTTGGTAAAGATTGGTGATTTTAATTTTCAGCCTTGTTTCTTATTTTTCAGCTATGGTATGATGGTATCTAGCTTTGTTATGGACTTGTATGAAGATTTGTAGCTTTATTGTGACTTTTTAGTTTCCAAATAAGAATTTCCAGCCTTAGTTGCAAAATTTCAGCCTTGGTAGAAAATTTTCCAGCTTAGGTATATGTTGATTATAGCTAGTTTTATGGCTAAAATAAGTACTCTATGTATCCTATGCATTGTGAACTTGATTTGAGGTTGTCTTGTGGTGAGAATGAAGCCTTGAAATGGCTGGAAATTAGGGAAAATAAGAGGAAGTGCTGCTGAAAATTAAAAATCCAAATTGAGTTTCGTTTGTTGCATTTGAAACTAGACTCTTAGCTCTTTTGACCGTTTAAAAATCATGGGTTGGTTCAACTCCTCTAAATACCAGCAAATTTACAAAGTTTCTTGAAAAACCATGACTGTTCTGTTTTGCACATGAGACAGCAGTGATTTTGAACTGAAAATTCGACTAACCTATGAGTTGAATTTCATGAAGATGTCTTCTAAAGTCCATTAGTACTTTGAGTCTATTTTCTAATGGTGCAAGTTTTGTGATTTTTTGACCTATAGAACTCAAGTTATACTTTTTCAAAGAATGTCGCCAAAGCTGGAAAATTTTGTCAAATGAATTGAGTGGAACTTGGAAAACTTTGAGAAAACTTTTCTAAGTCTTAAACTTTAATTGGTGTGATTTTGGATGGTTTTGTGGCCTTAAACAAGTGTACTTCATAGCCCTAGAATGCACCTGGACATTCTTCGATTGGCTTTCAAGTTTGTCTTTGAGTTTTGTGTTTTGAGGGGCCGATTTTAGATAGGCGTATGGCTCATGATTAAGGCTAAAGTGGGCACCTTATTAACCTAAGTTTTGAATGATCGGACCATGACATCTTGTCTTGGTTACTTTTAGGGTTTAACAGTGGGAACGAGCACAACCTGGAGTCGAACATTTAGCTTTGGTCTACTTTAAAAGGTGAGTGTTCCTTGCATGCGTGTGCTTTAAATGACTATGTGAAATGTTGTGAATGTTGCCGAAATGTTAAATGCTTTCCAATGATTGCTAAATGGATTTTCGATGGGCGAGTGTGTATTTTATCGCACTCGACCCAAGCAAAAGTGAATTTTCAATGACTGAATGCTACTTGTGCATGAATGTAAGCCTTTTGGTTGAACTTGGCCCTTGCCCTTCGTTGCCAATCGACTCGAGCTAGAAGCGGACTGGGTCGGACGGCTGGTGACCTTGGGACAATGTTTGGTATACTCGAGTATTACCAGAAAAGTCTGTTGTAGAACTGGCCAGTGAATTCAATACAATGAAATCAATGAATGAATGACATGAACACTGAAGGAGTTTTCACTTGCAAATGTTTTCTAATATCGGAGGGATAAGGAAAATGATTGGCAAATGAATGAATGAATGACTTATATGAATGGCTCCAAGTGAGCACGAATCCTTTCAATGAATGAATGATTGATTCTTGAATGACTGCTTATTGCTGTGCCAAGTGTGCAAAGTGCTAAGTGTAAATTTTCCTTTGGTTACCTGCTTGTTTGCTTGTTTAGGAACCTCATTGAGCTTTTAACTCATCCCATTAGTTTGTTTTCCTTACAGGGGTGGAGGCTGGAGCAAGTAGCTGTGAATTAGTGTATATAATCTCTTGTACTTGTACTTTTGTAGATGAGACGTATTTGGAATCTTTAGAAATGTAATCCTATGTTTTACTCTTGGATTGTAAATTAAGTTTGAATTGTTGGTTGGAAATGGAACTGTTATGTTAATTTTGAGGCTTGAACGGCTATTTCAAGAATGTTACTGAGTGAGTCTTGACGAGAGTTGGGCAGGCGATCCGCCAAACCCTTGGATACGCCCTAGAGGGAGGTGGAGTCGTCACAGAATGACCTCCAAATCAGAGATGAAAATCATTAGAAATTTATTACTGATAAACAAAAGGTGTGTAAGTGTATTTTTCTGTATTTTTTTGTAAGCTAAGGTTGCTAGTTTTAATTTGATGATCTAGTTTCACCTTTTAATTTTTTGAAGGGACTGATTCAAGCTATTGAAGAGTTGCTTCCAAATGTGGAGCATAGGATGTGTGTGAGACACATGTACAATAACTTTAAAAAGCTGCATGGTGGTTTGGCATTGAAGGAGAGAATTTGGGCACTTGCAAGAGCTCCTTACAAAAATCTGTTCAAGGTTTTGATGGAAGCTTGAAAGCAGTTGATGAGGGTGCATTTCAATGGCTGCTTGACAACACAACACCGCAGCAATGGTCTAGAGCTTACTTCAGAACCTCCCCTAAATGTGACATTTTATTGAACAATCTATGTGAGAGTTTCAACTCCAGCATTTTAGAAGCAAGGGAGTGGCCTATACTAGGTATGCTAGAAACAATACGACTTTATTTAATGGTTAGAATGAAGAATAAGAGGGAGTGGATGAAGAAGTATACATGAAAGGTATGTCCAAAAATTTTTAAAAAGTTGAAAAAAGGAAAAAGTGCTTCTAGTGCTTGCATAGCTACACCTTCAGGGGACTGGAATTATGAGGTGAGGTGCATGTATGGGGATAGGTACAATGTGAATTTGGCTAGCAGAACTTGTAGTTGTAGAAGGTGGGAACTAAATGGCATTCCTTGTGCTCATGCAATGAGTGCTATTGCTTTGAAAAAGGAGCCACCTCCGGAGAACTTTGTTAATGAATGCTACTCAAAAGAGGCTTACATGAGGGCATATGGGCCTATAATATATCCTCTCAATGGTGAGCATTTGTGGAAAGATTTGAAACAGGGGCCTGTCCTGCCACCTGAAATCATCAAGCTTCTTGGCCGGCCTAAGAAGGTAAAAAGAAGAGAACCAGATGAGCCACCAGCTGCAACAACTTCTCAAGGACAAACAAAGAGACTATCTAGAGTGGATCTAATGGATTATAAGTGTAGAAAGTGTAAACAAAAAGGCCACAATAGTAGGAAGTGTCCAAGCAGTGATGATCAAGGGAATGTCCAGCAACAAGCTGCTGCAGCTACAAGTAGCTCTCAGCCACAGCAGCAAACTCCTAATACCATCAATCCTGGTGCAAACAAACAGTCCCAACCTCAGCAGTGCGAAACTGATTACCAGCCTCAAAATGCTACTCCTGGTGGATACAAATAGTCCCAACCTCAGCAGTCCCAAACTGATTACCAGCCACAAAATGCTACTCCTAGTGTAAACAAACAATCCAATTTCACACCTGAATTAGTCTTTGGTGCAAGTGGCTTGGAAACTGATACAAGTGACCAAATCTAGTTTGATCTCATCAGTCAAATCCCATGTGAACCTACAACCAGTCGACCATCTACTCCAACATCAACAACAAAGAGTGCAACATTTCCAGTTCATACTTCTCTATTTGTTCATAATAAAATTTATTCTGTAGCATGTTGACTTTCTTCTATACTATTATTTACTTGAATTTATGGTTGTCAATTGACAGGGTAAGAAAGTCAAGAATAGATTTGGTGTATGTCAAAAATTTGGATACCCTCGAAGTAGTTGTGATTCAACATTGGCCTCTCTTATAAGAGACACCCATGGGAACCACCTGGATTGGCTGTAAGTAAATTGCTATTATCTACAACATACATCATCCAAAGAAAACTGCAAAGATATCTACTTCTAAGACTGCAAAAATTGCTATTGACTGTAAGTAATGACCTCTTCATTGTTTTGTTTGTATCAGAGGCCTAAGAAGACTACAAAGATATCTACTTCTAAAAGTGCTACAAGAAGGGATGGCAAGCTAACCTAGATGACTACGGCGTGTTGTTGCAAATGGCTTTATTTAAGTATTTAAGAAGTTAAAAGATGCTCTTTTTGTCTAGTATTTGACTTCAGCAGACCTTTTTTTTTGGAGCAATGGAATTGACTTCTTAGTTCATTGTATTTTTTTGATAAAAGGCGTACTGTAATGAATGTACTTGACTCGATTATGTACTATTTTTCATTGCAATGGAATGCATGCTCTTCTTATTTTTGGAGCTTTATAATTGGTTTACTTTCTACTCTTTCTTCACTTATAATATCACCATTATCATCTTCATTATCTTTCAATACAAAACTGTTCTTGGTCAATTTTTTACAACATATTCAAGTTAAAATTTTATTCCATATTATGTTGTAAGCTCATATTCAAGAAAAAATGATAATATAGCAGAGAGGCCTTAAGCTTCATAACTGCATTTCAACTCCCATTTGTACAATCAATAGGGCCACTAAAATGTAACCCAACCTAAATACAGCAAATAAAAGCCACCCAGTTCACCACCTGCACCAACAAATGCCAGTTACAACTCAATCTTTGCACAATAATTTCTGCACTACAAATAGAAAGGCCACAAACAGCAACAATTTCATCATTTTCTCCTTGCATCTTGTTTCTTCCACTTTTGCCTCCAACTCTCTTAATCTCTTCGTCAATTTTCTTGTGTGTCTCACTAATTTATCGCACCTCTCGCAACCGCTTGTATCATACCACTTGAAATAACCACAGCCGCCGCCACCATTATGGTGTTCAAAATTACCTCTTCAAATTTCACATTTTCTAAAATAAAAAAGCAATAGAAATCAAGCACACTTACTTCGTAGTAAGCGCAACCATAGAACCTCTTTCCTAGATTTTCAGCTGTCCACAACGTCTTCACTCTCACTGGTACACCGCAATTACAAGTTGGTGGTTCTACCATGGAGATGAAGCTTAGATTTTGGGTTTGGTTGAAATGAAGGAGAAGAAGAATTTTCAGATCCATTCATCCTTTACATTTTGGTCAACAGATAAGTAGTTTGACCTTTTTACCCTTTAAAAGTTGGGCACATAATGTGCGTGTGAGACATTTCGGGCAAAAATTGCTCGAAAAAGTGAAAAAGGACTTAAATTGATCCTTTTTTATTTTTTAAGGAATAAAAGTGATCATTTTCGATCTGAGGGACTAAAATTTCACATTTGCAATATGTAAGGGACTATTTGTGTAGTTCTCCCTCATTCCCCCTCCACACACCACCGCCACCACCACTCCCTCTCCATCCCACCAGTGCCTCTTTTGCATCCCTTCTCTTAACCTCTTTCTCTTCCTTCCCGTACCTGTTCCTGCTCCTCTTCATCCCCTTCCCTCTCTCCTCCTCCTCCTCCCCTCCAATCTCCCCTCCCCTCCCTTCCCCCGCAATCCTCCCTTCTAACTTTGATCACGACTGGAGGGGGAGGGCTTTGGTCAAGGCTAGAGGGAAGGGAATGGGTTGTGGGGAAAAGGGGAGGAGAAGGGAAGACAGAGGAGGAAAGAGGAAGAAGAGAAAAAGGGAGGAGGAGGGAGGGGTAGATGTAACAGCCCCACTTTCCCCTAAGGCGAACCAAAGGGGTGAGCGGACTGCCTGCCCAGCTCTCGCCAGGACTCACGATGCAGACTAGAACTATCTATAGCGATCCGGAACTTACGAACGAGCGTAAACGAGTCAAAATGGTAAAATAACCCAAAATTTAAAAAAAAGAAATCCGAAGTCAGCCATGAATAGTGACCGACCCGTCAGAACCCAACCGAAATAGCCAACAAACATTCACATCTGAACTTTAGCGTTTACAAATCAAAATGACATACAAAAGTTTTCAAAAGTTAATATATACACACGGTTTGCCAAATCAAAAGAGAAAACGCCCCAAAAGTACACTTAGGGTTTTAATACATGAGGTATACAAAAGATATGTTCAACTAGCTCAATTTGGCAGCCATTTGTCAAATCCAGACCAAAAGGGTTTATTTTCCTGTAAGGAAAACAAAAGGAACGGAAAGGGGTGAGCTTGCGCTCAATGAGGTACCAAACAGATAGCATTAAAATCATGGCATTTCACATTTAACAAATCAGATACACATGTCAGATGTAAAGCAAAGGAACCAATGATTCAAATCAGAAGGATACGGGTGGCTCTCAGGAGCCAAATTTCCAGCGCAATACTTGATCCAAACCGGTTGACTCTCCGTCAACGTATATAGAACCAATGCGTCCGTAGACCCCTCTTATCACCGAATTCCGTCCACCAAACACCCCTTTACCGGGCCCGCTCACCTCAAACGAACAAAATGGTAATACTCGAGTATACCCGGAATCAAGGGTCTCAATACCCAAAATCCCCGAACAGACTACCGTGGTTCGTTATCTAATCGTCCAGGCCCTTGCCGGCCCGACTCGAATAACTTAGCCACAGGATTGAGCTCATAGGTCATAGAAATCCGAACAGATGCAGACACAGATAACAGATTCAAATTTTGCATAGTAAATTGGCATATGAACAGACTAGAGAACGAGTGTGATAAAGTACACCCTCGTCTCGAACAAATAAACAGATTACAGAGCATAAATCAAGTTAAACAGCAATGGAGGGGAGTGGTACACTCACCGGCTCAACTTCAAAAGTTTTTACTTCAGATTGGCCTTAATCGCCAAGAAACCCTAAAATAATCAAAATAAACCAATTGAAGGTTTCATATCCAAATCGAGCAAACGGAATGCACAAGTGAGGCTCGACTACACGTCGTATGCCTTGCCAAAAAAATACTAATGCAAGGGTGCAAGAACATGATTTTCTTGGAAACAAAAAGATAACATGAAGACCTAGGGTCAACAACCCAAAAGCCCTTCATTTCCATCAAAAGGCAAATCCAACTTAAAGAACCAAACGGCCTAGAAAATCGGGCAGCACTTCCCCTAAATTTCTTACTTTTCCAGCCATTAAGGCTTCATTATTTCCTCAAATCAGCCCCAACATTTCACACCAAAGGTCATCTCATTTCCCAAAAGCCGTACAGGGCTCAAAGTGGTACAAGTACAAAAGTTAGCTAGGAAACAACCAAAATGAAAGCAAGCCCTAAGAGAGACTCGACGACGAGTCATAAAACAATGCTGAACACAACCCCAATAGGGTCTCATATGCATAAATAAGCATAATAGCAAACCAGAAAATCAGAAAATATAACTCATTTGATCAATCAACAAAAACAGGTTTGGCCTCCGTATGCGGTAATGGCACAAAATGCGCTACGCTTATTGGATGAGGGCGTAAGACCCACCATCTCGAAGCTAAAAGACAGGGCTACAACAATGTAGAAGGCCTCTCAGTCCAAATCCTAGCACAACTAGGTCAAATGTGCCAAATACTAAACCAGAATTACCAAAACAGGTTTGCAAAACACACAAAACTCTAATTACTATAACTCAGTCTATACAAGTCCAAATGCCGAAATTCCAAAGGCATATGATAGCTAAGACATCCAGTAACATTTCATCAGAAGACACCAACTTCAAAATCCAAACCAAATCCAGTCAAAATAGGCAATTACTATCGCAGTTCCGCACATTCTGTTCACCCAGAACAGCAACAGTAAAAATGGCATAATTCACTCTACACTACTCCAAATGCCCTGAAATTTTGCAGACACTTCAAACTCATCAATACCTACAACTTTCATGTTTTGAGAAAAGTCCAATTCGGCCTCTATCTATGACCTAAAATTTCGGACAGAATGTTCAACCAAGAACCCTAATTTTCCAGAAATTCTTCCAAATTCAAAATTGATTGCAATTTCCTATCATATGCACCTACTAGAGCTAAAGCCCCTTATTACCAACCATCAAAAACAACCATACCATCAAAATCATATGAAACCAGAAAATTCATCATAAAATGGAAAACTTCACTAAATCAAGCCAAACCAAGAAATAAATCATATATTCCAACACTCAAGCCACTTCTAAGCATACTATAACCATCATTAGGTGTAGTAGAGGTTCAAGCATCACTTACCAAGTATCAAGAGATGTAGAGAGGTGTTGGCCACCTTAGAGCTTCAAACAAACTTCACTAATACCCTTACTATCACTAGAAGGAAAGATTGTATGGAGTAAAAACTAAGTTAAACACTTGATTTGGTGGATTTGGACAAGTTGGAAGCTTGAAATGTTGAAGAATTTTCTTCCTTCTTGCAAGTGAGAGGTTCGGCCACAATGAGAAGAAAAATGGTGAATTTTGTGATTTTTTTGAGATATATAATCCTTTGGTCAAAAAAGTAAAAAATGTGAATAGTATTTCTTAAGTCAACTCCAATGATCTTGTGACACTTGTCACTATC